TCTCTTCATATGGGACCTGTTCCAAACCCCTGATCATTTTAGTTGCCCTTTTCTGAACCTTTTCCAAGGCCAAAATATCTTTTCTGGGGTGAGGAGATCACATCTGTACACAGTAGTGAAGATATGGCGTACCATAGTTTGATACTTCCCCTCCTCCTTCTTCCCCCTTCCAGCTCCCTCCTCCCAGGTTTCCTCCTCCCCTCTCCCACCCTCTCTCTTCCCCTCTCCCACCTCCTATTCCCAGTCTCCCTGAGTTTTGTTCAATAAAGAGAGTTTCTATTTTTGAACACACGTGTCCTTTATTTTGTACATCAGGAAGGGGGCTAGGGAGGGGTAAGTGGAAGGAGGTGAGGGAGGAATGGGGTACGAGCCCCCAATGGGGAGGACTGGGCTGGCTCTGCGGGCTCCTCAGGGTAGAAACTCTCCTGAAGCCCCTTGATTTACCCCCCCCCCAGATGGCAGCCTGCAGCAAGTGCAGCCGGGCTGATGGCCGCGTGCTGTGATGTGCCGAGTGTGGGCACTCAGGGCACTCCAAGCCAGGACTGCTTTGAAAGCGGGGAACCCCTGAGAACTGTTTGTCCGGGGTGGGGGTCGGGTCCCTTTAAGCACAGGCCTCGGCTAGCCTGAGGCAGCAGCTCCACACTCTAAGTCCTAATCTGATGCCCTGCCGGCACTGCTTCCGGCCATCCTTAACCTCAGTTCAGGGTCCACTCAGCGTGGACATGCTAATTCGAATTAGCAAAATGCTAATTCGAACTAGATTTTAAGTCTAGATGCGCTAATTCGAATTAGTTTAGTTCAAATTAACTAATTCGAACTAAGTTAGTTCGAATTAGTGCTATAGTGTAGACATACCCTCAGAGATTTTACTTAAACCTTTCTCATTAGATGTGTGTATGTGTATCTGATGAGAGAGAGAGCAAATTTAACTGAGGAAAGTGAACTGTGTTTCTCTTTATGTGGGCGTGTAATAATCTAGATGTCATAAAACAGAATAAGGCAGAAATACATGTTTATGTTGAAGGCAAAGATGGACTTAATTATCTAGATGACAGGATGTAAAAAATACATTAAGGTAGAGCTCAGCAATGCAGGAACATTATCTCTAGTTTACACAGAACAGAAATCAGGTGCCAGATTTATTCTGGGGATAATAGATTTAATGGAGTTACGCCAGGGATAAATTTGGCCCAACACTGCCTAAAATAGAAATTAAAAGAAGCTTGAACTTATGAACTGCCTTGGAGTAACAGGCTACTTCACAGTGAATAGCTTCCTCCCCCCGCCCAAGTATGCAGTTGCTGCTCTAAACACGCAAACTTAATTCTGGATGGAAATGTACTGATGTGATGTTGAAACAAAACATCAATGTTCATCCTTATCTGTTGATGATTGTTGGGTTTAAATAGGTTTCTTCCTCCATTTTCCAGCTTCTTTTCCTTGATCATGCAGCAAAAGCATGTGGCTATCTCCTGCCACTGAATTTTACTTTGAATTCCTCCTTGATTTCAACAAGCAATTTCTACACATGCAGTAATGGCAGGACTGCTCCCTTATGTCTCATTTCTGACATTAAAAAGTCATTTTCAACAAAAGCCATGGCAGTGTCATAAACATAGGATTTTTCAAGGGACCATAGATTTGAAGGCAAGGAGTTGTCATTATTCATTACAATAATCTTTTCTGACTTTCTATATGACACAGGGCAAAGAACCTCAGATTATTTCTGCCTCCTAGTATTATGGCTGAGGCAGGTCTGGAGCAAATAAAGAACATAGGCTACAGGAAAATAAATGTTCTTATCCAAATACAAACAGCACGTAGTAACAGTAGCATGAGCAGAGAAAATTAGTGGCTGAGTGAATTGAATTGCTGTTTGTTTTAATGCTTTATTTTTCAAGAGGACCTCGGTGAGAAAGTCACTCTTCAAGTAACTTATTCTTTGTACTTTCCTGAGTACATGTTATACGTTCAGGCTTGCATTACTTGAATGACTGTAAAGTAGTTGGCTAAGAGCACTGAGCTATCAAAAAGGTCACTGTTCTAAACAAGTTAATATAAAAATGCAAAGCCCTGTTATTTGCCATGATGAACATTCCTCAAACATTACATCCCATGTTCCAAACCTCTTGGTAAAAGCAGTTTATGGAAAGCCTCCTGATTAAATGCTAAAAGTCACTGATGCCATAAGGAGATTAAACAGCATGCTGTTTTAATTAAAAGAGACAGAACAATCTAAAGCTCAGTAAAAACATTTCTTATGTTAGTATATGTGATAAAAGCATTATCTGGCTTTTGTTTATATGGTTTAAAATAATTAAAATAACTCCTTGGGCATCTCTGACTTGAAGCTTTATTCTCCATGCCCACTGAAGATACAGCAAGAAGTAATGGACTTAATCTGCAGCAAGAGAGATTTAGGTTAGATACAGTATTAGGAAAAAAAAAAACCTTTTCTAACTAACTACAAGGATAGCTAAACTCTGGAATATGCTTCCAAGGGAAATTGAGGAATCTCTATTGCTGGAAGTTTTTAAAAGAACTCTGCCTGAACACAAGGAGCTGGATTTAGTGACCTCTTGGTGTCCCTTCCAGCTCTGTGTTTCTATGTTTTCCTTTTATAAACTCCCAAATGGATGCACAGGAAAGAAATAAACTCATATACTTAGCTCTAATTTTGCTGTCAATTTGTAGTTCTGCTCTTGTACCTGATTTCTGAATGTATGCTGTTTAAACACATTTTGAAACCAGATGGTTTTCCTCAGGTCTTCAGACAGGTTTTGCTGAACCACAGCATGAATAAAAGAACCACAAAAAACTCTCCTAAGAAATCAATTGCAACAGACAATCAAACTTTCAGCCTGCTCTGGTCATCCAGCGCACCAAGCCAATAACGTTGTTTCTGCTCTTCTCTGTGTTCCATTCCATACAGGTGCTCATTAGAAATCCCAGTTCCATCTTTCAGCTGGAGGCTCCTAGTTGACAATATGGCTTGCTGGAGAGAAATACCCTAAAATGCCTTAAGGATGCAGCTGGACTCGCTGTCTGGACTGAAGCATGTTCACCTTTTGATCAGCAGTCCAAATTTCATTTCTCTTTTCAGCTTTTCTTGAAGTGAAAGTGGATTAATCATGAACAAAATCTGAATGAAATACAGCACTCACGTGAGTCACCTCTGCAATTCCACTCCAGACTTCCCCTGAACAAAGACTGCCAGGCAAGCCAAGTCAGATTTGTTTCTTGTTTTGTTTTTTTAAGTAGAAGGAGAAATGACCCGGAGGATGTTGGCTGAGAGAGCCAGACATTTGTCTGTGCTCGTCTCCAGAATTCAGATTTGAACTTGGATTTCCAGAGGTGGAGAGGTAGTGAATTAACCTATTTATTCCATTCCCCA